TTCGTTCTTTCATAACTTCTTTGGTCAAAGTCAAATTCTACAAAATTTTCTGGAAATAGTTTTCGTGAAGTATTTTCTCATTTTCTCTATCTGAAAAAACTGAGTTATAAAAGTCGTCTATGAGTTAAATGTCTTAGAGAAGATTTGATTAAATGATTTAGTCATATCTGATCATGGCCTTCATATATGCCTTGGAGTTTTTGCAAGTATAATAAATTAATTTAATTTAATTTAATTTTGCCATCCATACATTACTCAATAGTCCCCTTCACAGTTCCCTGCCCTGGCCATCGATCCGCTGACATGTGAATAATTGTCAATGGTCTCTATCATTGCAAGCTCGCCTTTTGACTTGCTTTGATGCAAAGGCATGGGTAACCTTTCAAGATGGCACAGGGAACTGTGAAAGGGTATTCATTCATTGTTTGCTTCACTTTTCAATGAGGTAATATTACAGGCCACTGTCCTTACTAATAATGGAGGAAAATTCATCCATAGATTCCTTCCTTCCTTCCTTCCTTCCTTCCTTCCTTCAACCATTCATTCAACCATCATTTATTCATTCATTCAACCATCCATCCATTTATTCATAATAACATCCTTTATTGGGTAAAAAAGTACAGACAAAGTTTTCTCTACTCTGACTCTCATCCATCCATCCATTCATTCACTGTTTCATTCTTTCATATTTTTAGGACAACTCAAATTAATGAGGGAAAATCTTTGCAAAAGGGTTAAAGTTAGAGCAATGCCAACAACTTCCTCTTGAATGTCCCCCTTTGAATTAATTCTTCTCCCAACTTCATTTCAGAGATGCAGAACTATTGCCAGAACACCAACATTACTTGTCTACTATACCCATAAGTAAGAACCAATTTTTTTGGTAAGTTCTATATGTAAGGGAAATCAATGACACATATTTATTCAACTTCAAGGATATTTTTTGAGGTTGTTGAGTGTGATGGGGTGGCAGGGGGGGGACTTTAGTTTCAACATCATAATTAAGATCAACTGATCCCTCCAAAAAGCACTCTCCTTTTTATATCTCCCTAAATAGTTGTTTCTACTCTCTTTGTATGACTTCCCTAACCACCCCACCCTTTTGATACYGGTCAAATACATTGCTTGTTCAATTCCCTCCAGTTCTCTAAAATGCATGTGATCCCCCTAAATTCTCCAACCCTCCACCCTGATATTAGTAATGACTGGTCCCTAACTTCAAGTTACCATGAACTTGACTAACTCTCTAAGTCATGCACCTACACTGTACAGGTCAGTTATGCAATAAGGAAAGATTTTTAAAAGCATGTGATCTCCCTAAATTCCTAAAACCCTCCACCCTGATAAATAATGACT